CTTGTGGACCAAGAAGGGTTTGTTCCTCCTTATTAATAGTCCCAATGTATAGTTCCATGTGGGGACTATGATAGGCTCCTAAAGGGTGTGCCTTCTTTTGTGCAACTCAGTATCTCCCTTCGTCAAATACTGAAATTGTTCTCCCCAGAGTCACCAGTGACCTAACTGTCAAATTCAACAGGTCTGCTGCCAACCTTTATGTTCCTAGACATTGACGCTACCATATCTCTTGGCTTAAGTCTTACATACTAGATGATACCTTACTAGTTTTCCTCATGGGATCTTTGTCAGCCAGCCCTTTAACATGCTGGTGCTTCCCAGGGTCCCCACTGCTCTTTGCAGCCTCCAGAAGGTCCTTGGGTGACCTTACACAATTTCAAGGTTCTAACGTCCACCTATTGCTCATGGCTACCAAGTCTTATCTCTAGTTCTCACCTTTCTCAGAACTTCAAACCCATACACACAAACGTCTGCTGGTTATCCGGTAGGTATCTCAGAGGCGCCACCAATTAAACTGTACCTGTAACTGAACTCATCACCTCTTCTTTCTTTCTGTCAGTTGAGACTCCTCCCATGCAGTGTGCACCTTCTCAGCCCACAGGCACACCCCCCAGCAGACTTGGGTAAGATTTTCATCTTGGGTAAGATGTAAACTGAATGGTCAATGACAGACTCCTCTTCTCCTCTCTCCTCTTCACACCCCACATCCAATTATTCACAAATATCTACTGATTTTAAGTTCTAAATGTATCTTAAACTTATTTTCCCCTCTTTATCCTGAGCATTCTTGACATAGTTCTCATTCTTCATCTGGCCTATTACAATAAACCTAACAATAGAGAAAATCCCTCATCCTCACTGCTTCTGAATAAACTACCTACACAGAGCGGGCCATGTCATTCAGTGGCAGAGATTGCTAGGTATTCACCATAATCCTTTTTCCTCTTCTTCCTGGAAACATAATTGGACTACATTTCCCAGCTTCTTTGTGTTTGCTTTGGCTATGTGACTTAGTGCTAGATAATAAATTGTGAGCAGAACTGATCTGTGCCCCTTCCAGTCTTGGCCCATACAACATCCTGCAGGAGTGCCTATATGTTCTTTTCCCTTTCTGGTTGACTGGGATGGTTACCCTGGAGCAAACTTGATGATGGGAAGATGGCGGAGCCATTGTCAGCCTGGGTTTCCAAATGATTGCATGGACCAGAGCACCATTCTCTACCATCACCACTGCAGACCTGGAGTCACCTTGTATAGTTATGTGAGTGAGAAATCACCTTCTGTTCTGGTGAACCATTATTTGTTGGGTTTTATTTGTTATAGCAGCCTGGCTGGGTGTGCTCGTGTGTGTGTGTGTGTTTGTGTATGTGTGTGTGTCTGAGCTTGCATGCTTTTCATGTGTGACCTCTAATTACATATGCCACTATACACATGTCCTTTATATTTTGATAGTTCTGATATCAATCCTCCATCTATGCCTTTTATCATCTACTCTTTTATATTCTATTTGACCTAGGTTGTTTTCTTCTCAAGGCCCACAGTATATTTAATTTTAGATATTTTTAGAACTCATCGCTATTAACTAAGTATCAAAATGCAAATTAATTATAGCCTCTGTTTCCATAACTTGATCTCCTTGTTTTTCAGTCTGCAGAGGCCACACACTGTCTAAATTACTCTAACTGAAGGAAGACAGCAGACCTGTTTACCTGCCCTTTAGGGATGCCCTATGTTTTTAGATGGAAAGACGTATTTTGAGAGTACTATTTGAAAAACCCTAAACAGATCAATTTTATTTCAAAATATCTAGGCTGAACCCACTGTGTGCTGACACAGGGATGATCTGCCCCAGTGAACTCAGAAGTTATCAAGAGTGCCCTCAATGTTATTTTAAAATATTTAATACTACGTGATTTTCTCATCTGTTTGCCCAGGGTCACCACAAAACTGGCATTGTTTTTATATGTAACATGACCAAAGAAGAAACAAATAAAACCAAAGGCACAGAGGATGGTGATGTTTTCTAATTTGCAAAGCAAGGGGTCATGGACTCTGAAGTCCACCTGCCTGAGTTCAAATCTCTGCTCCATTGCTCATGAGTGTGTGTGATTCTGCCTAGCTACTTAACCCTCTATCAGCTTCAGTTTCCTTGTCTCTGAAATAGGGAAAATATTATCAATCTCCTTGGGCTGTCATGAGGATTAACTGAGAGAATGCATACTCATTACCATAAAATCATGCTTATAAATCATGATGCATGCTATATCAACGTTCACTGTCAACATGAAGCCCTTTAGGACTGATTAGGAAAGAAACAGGACTAAAATGTCAGGAGTACTGCTAGTCATTCTTTCCCTTCTTTCCATAAATTAGATTACTATAAGCATGAAGCTCTTTTCTACCCCTGAAGCTGTATTCTTTACTTGTAAATGGAGATCATAAGATATTGATCCATTGACAGGAAAAGTGATAACTCACTTTAGGAATCAAATGTAAATCGGCGTGCAAGTATAGTTCAAATAGAAACAATTATAGCATTTGATGCAAAAATATTTGGAGGTTTCAATTGTGAACCAAAAAAAAAAAAAAAAAAAGTCCTAAGACACCAACCACCGAACAGACCCTCCTCTAGGCAACCCTTAAAAATTGAGTTCCTGGCCAAGATGGGAAGAGAGATCAGACACACCTCATTATACCACTTCCCTTTTGGGGTTTTAGACACAACTGACCAGCATTAATATTAAAATAGAATTCATAAGAGGACAGAACGAATTCTTTGTGGCAATAAGATAGCAAATTAAACACAGGACCTAAGGCCATGCCAGGCAAGGGTTAAGTCATGCACCCCTACACTTAAAGAATAAACTACGTTATACTCCTTACCCCTTGTTCCACAAGCCAGAACTTTAGCCTTGACTGGGCCAGAGACTGATTTCAGTAACTTCCTTCTGTTGAGACCACCAACCATGAACTGGTTCTGGCCAGTTCACAGGGGCTGTGCACTTGAGTGCTTGAGTTTGTCCTGAAAAGACCTTTTGACATATGGGGCCTAATGGTAATACATTAAATGATAAGTCTCCATCCCAAATTGAACATGGGTCATATGTAACGTGCATTTTTTTCAATATGCATCTATCAGGACCATCTTCATCAATATTCATAACTCCTCCTATAAGCTGTTGAATATGTATATTTGGCCAACCTATTCAGTTTAAATTCCCATTGTACCCCTCCCTCCCTCGAAGTGCCAGTCTCTGGTTTTTGCTGGAGGCTACGCTTCCTAGCCTGTCAGAATGGCCACCTGGCAGATTGCAACCCTTTATAAGAAATAAAGCTCTCCTTTCCAAATGTATAATTGTGTAATTTTTAAGTTAACAGGTGTACCTACTTATTGCTACATAGTCATTCCATGACCAATGATGCTGATTAATTTATAGGAGAGAATTTTATACAGACAAGTTGTCAACTGGTGCTGAAATTCACTTGAGAGAAAATTAGATTGGAAAAAGCAGGTTCACCATTCAGCTGAAAAGTGTGTCCTTAGACAAATTACTTAAGTGATAAAAGTTCTAGTTTTTCTATTTGTAAATTGGTATAAATGAGATCCTTACCTACTCCCCAGAACTGTCAAAAGGAAAATATAAGAGATTACTTGTGAAAGTGCTTTGAAAATTAACAAGTTTATAAATTGTTATAATTGCATTGTTATATTTATATTAGCTGCTAATATTTCACATCTCTTTAGCCAGGGAGATGATTTTATGAAATGTCATGAAGATGCTGAAAAATCTGAACACGGGATTATTTCGCCATAAAGTCCTCTTTTGAGTTGTCATATTATTTAGACAAGTTTGCACACTGTATATTTAAAATTCAAATAGGTGAGAAATAATTTTGATGCTTCAAAGCATGCAATTAGTTTTAGAAAAAGAAAAACAAATGTCTAGCCAAATTTCTGAAGTGTGAAAATGGGGCCAAATTTTGTCATCATGTTTATTTTCTTCTTCCTCTATATTTCAATTCCTTCAATGAGCCAAAATGAATTTTTTTTAATGCAAACACTCAAACATACCAACAAGGAAAAAAAAACTCATTGATACAGTGGGCTATAGTATCGTCTTAGGTTTCCAATCCAATTGTGACTACGTTACAGGTTTAAACCAATTCTCAACGTTAGCTTTCTTATTGGAATGTGAACTCAGGCTCTTTCAGTCATCCTTCATCATAGGATCATTGCAGTTTATAGCTGGAGGGACATTAGAGATGATCTATGCTAGCCCTGTCATCCTGCAGATAAAAAGCAGGCTCAGAAAGAGGGACTGAATTCTCCATAATCACACAGCAGATTGGCTCAGGCTTCTTGACTTACATCTGGGTTCTTTTCACTGTATCTCACTACATATGTTCTCTTTCCCTCAATATATACATACATATATATAATATATATATTATATACGTATTAAGATATATAAAAAATATATATATTTTTTCCATTTGAGGTGTTAGGTAGTAGAGAGGGAGATGAGGGATGGTTATGATTGCTTCCATTTCTTCCCACATTAGACTATGCTTTAATGCCAGTTCATTTTGAAATTTGCACAGGAATGTAACAATCCTAGCTATTTTCTGTGTAAAATCATACCCGGGGTAGGAAATAAGACCTCTTACCTCACTCCAGTTTCCAACAATCCAGTATGCGGGGCTGTGGCTCTTTGCGAGTTGCTTGTAGTTGGAGGCGTTCAGCAAAAAGCCCTCGGCAATCAGACTTGTTGCATCCTCCTCGGTCAGGACTGGCCCAGAACTCTGTGTCAGATTCACATTGTTTGAAAGTTCCAGGTGGTTATGGTTTACTGGCTTTTCTGAGGAGTCTCCTCCCAGACGGAGTGGAGTGGTAGCTGGCTTCTCAGAATCCACTCTCTCTGTGCTGGGTGTCCCAATTTTGAGAGTGCTGGGCCTTTGGCTGGTAAGGAGTCCCTCCATCGCTGTGCTCAAGGGTGGCCACCAGGACTCCCCGCTGAGATAAGGCGTCGGTGGAGGTCCAAGTGGCATTTCTGTACTTCTTTCCGCTGGAGCATCATTTTCAGGTACTCTAATCTTGTTCCACATTACAGGGTTGTTTCCATCTTTGTTCCCAGGCTGTTCACTGTCTTCCCCTGAGCCACTGTGAATCTCCACGTCTGGATCTTTGGTCAAGGTATTGTAAAATGGAGTCACCTGCCGAGTCACAGGGTCACTAGAAGATGACAAGTCAGCACCACTTGTTGTAGCTAAAAGGTCTCCCTCTGAGCTAGGACCAGTATCTGAACTGGGCACATTTTCATTATGTGGCTGGATGCTCGAAGACTGGGAAGAGAGGATGGGCTGGGCAGTGCTTCCAGTGGAAATGAGATCGTGAGAGTCCAGTTCAGGTTGGGTTGAACTACTTTGCCACTGTTTCCCATCCAGGTCTTCTCCTTTGGAGGCTGTGGTGGGACTAGGGCTGCTGATTGCCGGAGTACTTGTGCTCACTGACTCAGGCACTGAGGTTGTGGTCAGCACCGTGGGCCTGGGCAGAGGTGGAGGGGTGGGCTCTGAGGGGTCTTGCTCAGGTGTTGGTAGATTCTTCCCATTGGGAATTGTGCCCTTGCTGGGTTTCAGCACTCTTCGGCTAGATGGGCATTGCTGGAGGCCACACAGAGCTCGGCTATTGGGTTTCCTTGTCACATCGCAAGGTTCATCATGGTTCTTGGCACACGTGACACTGCGAATCCGCACTCCACCGCCACAGGAAACAGAGCACTAGAAAAGAGAGACAGCTGTTAGTCTAGTGAGCAAGGATGCTTCTGTTCTCTTGGGCAGGTTTACAACAGATCAGGATAGGCCGGATGGAAACTGAACTCTGTAGCTAAAGTTGTCTTCTTCTATCTCTACATTTGGTTTCTGTGCTCTTTTAGATTTCCATGGAAATCTCTTTCTCCTGGAGACCAGCAGAGGCTCAAGACCAACCACTTACTCCTCACAAAATGAAAATATAAGCCATGATGAAGTCAAACTGGAGTCCCTTTGAACCCTGGATGGGGGGATCCACAAAAAATGCAATGATTTAAACAAGTCACCTGATCTTCTTAAAAGATAGTAAGTCATATAATCTCTTTCCTAGGCTTGTGACACCACTAAATTAATGTAAAATGTTTACATATTATCTGGGATCTATTAAATTAGTTATAATGAACCTTCCCTTTATATTTAGAAAACAACTGTTATAAGTCACATAGTTTCTCCCAGGTACCTTAAGTTCCACTGGCATTTGCCTATGGCAGGTGGAGTCAGATTAAAAGCTAGACAATCACCATATTCACACACGTGCATAGATCCAAGAACTTTTCTGAAATTTAAAGGTGGGTGGTTAATCAAAGGTGGGAGATCATCTTTCCTGAGGAGTTAGGTGAGTCCCTTAGCATGACACTGATACACACATTGGAGGAGGGGCAGGTCGCCCTCTCCAATGTTCCTTTCACATTCTGTAGGGCATGCAAAGCACTGGCCCCTAGATGCCTTTGAGGGCATTCCAACAGGGCATTCCTGGCTCTGGATTCACGGTAAAGAATGTTCACTTCATCAGTTTCAGCAGCTGTGAATCACAGTGGTTGCTATAAAACACTAAATTTCCAGATATTTTGAAGAATCCATACTTTTACCAAACCATGCCATTTTTAGCTTTCCTTTACAATAAGGACATTTAAAGTCAACCACCAAACAGTTCATATTTGAACATGGACCACCCAAGGGTCTTTGCTGGTCATTTTACATTTCTCTGCCTTTTATCCCTGACCTCAAAGCAGGTTTCTTAAGGACGGGCATTGTTTAATGCTCAGTGGCTTCCAAAGGGCTTCACAGACATTATTCTGAGTGATACAACATGCCTGATATTTCAAAGGCAGAAATTGTCATTCTGCCTTCTACAAGAGAGGAATATGAGCCCCAGGGGCTTGCTTAAAAGGCTGCAAGTCAGTAACAAAGGAGGAATTAGATCTATCTCACACCTCACCCCAAAACCTAGTGCAACACACTGTATAGGTAGCTATCCATGGAGTTCACTTCTTCACTTCAAAATTTTGATTTCTGAAAAGTCACCCAAAGGCAGAAACTACTTCTTATTCATAATTGAACTCCAGGATAGCTCTTAGGACACAGTGAACACTTTGTACGGTGTTTATTAAGTGATTATTTTACCTGGAAAAAATGAGTTATGGGAAAATTCTTGCTCATTTTTTAGCTGAAGTTTCTTACCTTCTCTAGTCCTATTTTAAATTTTCTCTATGGAGGAAACTAATACTGACATACAAAAATCCCCCTTTATTTTATTGCAATCAAGCATAATCACTCACTGATGTATAACAGCTCTGAAATCAGCTCCTTTGAAAAGTGGGAGATATTCGTGAGCAGAGGAGAACGTTCAGCAGAGGGAGTGTGCAACTGCAGATTAGGCTCCACCACTAAAGCTGTGGATTTAAGATGTTAATGACATACTCAAATATCCTGCTCTAGGATTGAACTGCCAAGGTCTGTTTTGAGATAATAATCACCACCATCTTTGTTGGAAACAGTGCTTAATGTACACTCATTTCCCACCCAAGTGGAGGCTATCAACCAAGGTCTTGGAGCCCATTAGGGAGAAAATGTCTCTTCTGGAACCTTCCATCACTCACTTCTCTCTGCGGCCCAGAAAAGGCAGGCTGCAAGCATTTATTTTCTCGGTTTGCCACAATATTTCTGCCCTTCTTGTATCTAAAGATACTTTATGCTCCATCTATTTCCGTCATCGCAAGTCCCTCCCTGCTTGTTACATTGTAACCTGAGCTCCTCGGATTTTCAAATATCTGCTTCACAAAATTTATCAGCCCAAGCAAATAATCCTCAATATATGTCTGAAGACATTTCTACACTGGCTGCCTCAGGCAGATGCAGTTCTGAGAGCTGATTCATAAATGAGGCCCCAGCTAATGCCAACTGCTCTCCGGCAGGTGGTGGCCCCACTTTCAGTTTTACTTTCCAAGAACTATCAGACTAGACAGTAACCTAATAGCAAACTCTTCCATGTTTCTTTTCTTTCTCTTCTCCTCCCTCCCCACCTTTTTGTGGTTTGTTTTGACTGGAAGTGTTTCTAATATCCCCAGGAAAGTTAGACTTCACTTGCACACCTTTACAAGTACAAACATTTTTTAACATGCAAAAGTAGAGGCATGTATGCCCTCCATCCCCGCATTGAACGATGAAGTCAAACAACTATAAAAGCTCTGGGAAATGGCTTACATTCCCCGATCTGTCATTACTAACTCTCTGCATGATTCAATGACTTAGCCTCAGCTTCCTCATCTGGAAATTGAAAGAAATGAGCACCTACTTTTCAAGGCTACTGAGAAAATTACATGAGACAATACTCTTGACAGAATGGCATAATATATAGATGACAATCAGTAATTAAAGCTATTATTATCACTGTTGTAATAATGATGCTGATAATAATAACAGAGTGCTTGGGGGTCCCCCTATTTCTAATGGCACAGAGAACTGTCATATCAGTGGGGTGGCGAGGTGAGCAGCTATCTGGGCAGAGTGGGTGCAGGCACATGTATAGAAGAGACACATGAACCCACACTGGTCTATTGCCGGATTTTTTTTCAGATTCACATTTCCTAGGGCACTAACAGATACATACATGGTTTTAAACTTACAAATTATGAGTACTGAATGATATTACTAACTGTGTGAATTTGCTCAACCTAAAAGAGTAAGACAGGAGGAGTAAATAATAGCTATCTAGCTGGTTGTTTAATTAAAATACATTAGATTTCAATATTTTAAAACACAAGATTGTTCTCAAGCAGAAGTTCCAAATTGGCAGCCTAGGGGCTCAATTTGGCTAACAGACACATATTCTTTGGCCTGTTCAATCTTAAACCAAATGAACAAACAAACAAAATACAAAAACTGAGCTAGTGGCCAACACTTTAAAAATGAGCAGTTTTATATAAATAAAATTCTAGAGTTTTGGCTTCTCTTGGAATAGCAAACGATCTGCATCTATTGGTCGCATTTCCAAACGGCAACTCAAAACCTCATTAATGGAGGCCTGGGGTCTGGGAGGAGGTTGTGTGGTCTCCAGCACACCTGCCTGCCCCCACATCTACTGTCCCTAGCCAGTAGACACCGAATCTTCCACATAACCCGAGGACGCCATTCCTTGGCACTGGGGCATCTTGTGCCCAGCGGGACAATATTAACTGTCCAGCAAGTACGTTGGGTCTCAAAGCTGAGCTGCCTTTTCTCCGGTGACTCCAGCACCAGGAGTGCCACTTTGTAGCCAGCCCCACGCTTCTTCCAGGACATCTTCCGACTGTGCTTATCTCCTTAGGAGCTGTGAAGCCCTTCAGATGAGATCAACGCTAACTACACAGCACCACACTTGAAGTCCATTGCAACTGGTAGTTTCAGAATTCTCAAAACCAATTTCAGCTATGATTATCATATGCCCTTACCTTGTGATTTTGAACCCTGGGTCAGACTTGTCAACCTGCCAAGGTCCTCTCTGGGAGTCATCTCGCCCTCACTCTCCACCACGCCTGGACTCAGCCTCTGGGTGGGGAGCGGGGTGCTGGGAAAGAGGTTTGCTGCTAGATCTGTCAACTTTGCCCACCTGGGGTGCACTGCAGTGGTGGGGGTGGGCGCCCACAGTGGGCACAGAGCTGCGGTGCTGAGAGAGAGTTTACTCAAAAGCACAGCTGGAATTTATCAGAGGGTTCAGGCTAAAGGACTGAGTAGAGAAAACAGCTAATACTGTACTGTTTGGGGAATAAAAACATTTAATGTAGTCTTGGGAATTTATAGATCAAAGATTGGATCTCAAACTAAAACCAGCTTTGAAAGTAAGCTAAAACACTTGGATACCTGTTAATAGGTTGAATTGTGCCCACCGTCCCCCATCCCCGCCAAAGAAATGTCAGAGTCCTGATGCTCCCTAACCTCAGAATGTGACCTTATTTGAAGATAGAATCTTTATAAGTAATTAAGTGAAAATAAGGTCATTAGGGTGGGCCCTTATCCAATATAACTGGTGTCCTTATAAAAAGGGGACATTTGGACACGCACAGCACAGACAGGTGAAATGCCACATGAAGAGGAAGGCAGAGATTGGGGTGATGACTTTACACGCCAAGGAACACCAAAGGGTGACTGCAGACCACAGAAGCTGGGAAAAGGCACAAAACAGACTCTCCCTTCCACCCTTCAGATGGAGCCAACCCTGCTGACACCGTGATCTTGGATTTCCAGCCTCCAGAGCTGTGAGACAGTACATTTCTGTGGTTTAAGCCATCCAGTCTGTTGTTAGGGCAGCCCTAGGAAACTGATACAGTAGTCTAGATAATTTTTTTAAAAAATCATAATCAACATGGCTTCCAACTGGTTGTCTGTGAGTAATGGTTTCAAACAAAGATGCCCATGTGTGTTCTCCAGAAACCCAGGCAAAGCATAGGCTGCTGGCACATGGGAAGAGCTGTGATGTTGGCACTTACAGATGTCCCACACCAAAAGAGGAGGTGATCTAGGTCAGAACATCAGGTGGCCAGGCTCACAGGGGTGCTGGGACCTTAACTGAAACTGGGGGATACCAGAGGGTCACTGACTCTCAAAAATGTCTCCTATGTCCTCGTGCTCTCTCTTCCTTGCAGGAACTTCACAGAGTCCTGTGGGACTTCACAGGAGCCCAGCTTGGCTTCTCATTTAGCAATAGACATGGTGTTGCTAATAATATTTGCTGCCATGACATCATCTGAAGAGCCCTCCCTGCTCATTTGAGACAATTGTCATTTAGTCTATTAGGTCACTGTGCATTCCAACACCCTGGTGAACAGCTCTGCACTTAATAGAGTCCCAGTAACTTCTTTAATTGATGGTTTTGCTTGCACACACACACACACGTGTATGTGTGGCACAGGAAAAGCAGATTAGAAATTCTAAGAGCCATCATATTGAAGAGCCGTCATATTGCTACATTTTTCAGACATTTGAGACACAAATGAGTGTTCAGAGTGGAAGCTCAGCTGCCTGCATTCAAATCCTGGCTCCATGGCTTGGTGGCTGTGTGACCCTGGACAAGTTTCTAAATGTCTCTCTGCCTCACTTTCTTCATCTGTAAAATGGGGCTAATAAAGCCATTGTAAGGATTAAATGCATTAATATCTATACAGATATTTAATAGATGTATACATAATACATACTAATAATATATACTAAATGCCCAATAAATATTTGCTATTAATATGTAATTAAATATTGATTTCTGACTTTATAGTGTCCCTTTGTTTTTATGAAAACAATATCTAAGTTTTTTTTTTCAGGTCTCAAATAATTTTGCAGGCCCTGGAAAAACTTGCAGGCCCTAAGCAGTGTACTTTCAGTGTTCTATGAATAAAATGGTCCTGAGCTCAGAGAAGGGACAGGTGGAAATTTAGAGGGCCACAGGTCAATTCCTTCAGCACATTTGGGTGCCACTGATTGGACAAGGTTTGTAAAATCAGAGGAAGCCTCATCTGCTTGCCTGATAATAAGTCACCATTTAGTGACTTAGCATTAGCAAGGCACTATGCTAAGTGCTTATATGAATTATCTATTTAATTCTTACAATAACCCTATCTTTCTCATTAACAAAAGGCTAAGGGAAAATTTTCACTAGCTCGTGGCCATGCAGTCAGAGATTTCCAGGGATGGAAAATTTAGAAAAATTACTATCCCACTAAGTCTATTAGTCTTGTTACCAGGAGAAATAAATGCTGGTTTGACATTGAGGAAACTGAGGCCCCCTGTAAGGTGAAATCATTTTCCTAAGACTGTACAGAGAGTTTATGCAATACAAGATTAGAACCTAGAAAGTTCTCTGGGATCTCAGCTAGGACTCTTCTCACTTCCTCTTCTGCCAAGTATGCACAAAACCACACATTTATTAACTACATGGTGCTTTCATTGGTATTCATTCATCTATCCATTGATCCATCCATTGATCCATCCATCCATCCATCCATCCATCCATCCATCCATCCAAGGAAAAAGGTGGCAAAGCACTCTACAAAGCATCTGGCTGAATCATTATCTATCATTATTTTGTTTTTGGAGCCATTATTAAAAACCTCACATAACTTTAGCAATGTATCACACCAGGGCTGTCTCTTAAAGAAGAGGTACCTTTCCACCTGTCAGATGGAAAGAATTACGGTTGCCCAGAGGCACTGGGTTAGACCAAAGGCTTCATCACAGTGGCCTTACTGTGATGTTCATGTCCAGCATGTTGCTCTCTGTCCCAATCATGGCCTTGACTTCTGTTTCACCACTTCTTTTTTTTTTTATTTTTTTTAATTTTTTTTTATTTTTTTATTTTTCTTTTCTCCTAATGCTTCCATGTGGATGTTTCACCACTTCAATGTCTAGAGTCTTTTTATTGTAAACTGCCTGAAATAGCCTTCTAAAGAGAAACTGTGCATAAACAAATACACACACCTTGGCTTCTGGAGGTCTCATGGTCACCACATACAAACATTTGAACCCAGGGAGCCATGCTCAGGGTCCGTGCCTTTCAGCACTAGACTGGCTGCTTCTCACAAGTCATGCCACTGAAGTGGTGTATCTAGGAAGCATGGGAGCCACAGAAACTTTGATGCCTGGTCTTTATTTATAACAAATAGAATTCCCTTCTTTACCTTCTTAGCCCAGAAAGTAGGCTAGACAAAACCAGGATAAAAATCTTGTTGGAACTCAAGATTGAGGATAGGAGTCAGGTGTCTACAGTGTGAGCTGAGAGGGGTGGGCCTGGTCACAGGGGGCAGGAAAGCCCTCTAATTTCCAATGCTGCCTGGGTGAAGGGGGAGTGTACCAGCCTGGGATGGCTGAGCCCACCCTCCTCTCACTGCTTGGGTTGGTGGAGGTGTATTGATAGGGAAAAGCAGCTCATGAATTTACCTTTCCTCTTTCTTCCCACCTTTGTCAGCCCAGGGAGGACCATTTTACAGGAGTCTAGAAGGCTCTCAGATCTTTGGTCTTTCAGCTCAGTTGCCTTATAGTTTCAAACTCATCCAGGGTGATCCAAACTACTCAGTGTAGACCAAATGATTGCTGGAGTAACACCCTGCACCAAACAATGATGGTCTCAAGACAAAATTCAGATTATGAATACTGGGTATAAAGAATCACTATATCATCACTCTTAAAAAAGTATCTGGGCATAGTTAAAATGTCAAAGATATTTCATCATATATTGCAAGGCTCACTAGAAGGTTGTTAGTAAGACAGCAGAGGAAAGAAAGAAGGACCTATTCAATGAATATTTTGATACTGATTTAACTAAAAGTACTTCTCCTAATAACATCTCCTCAAAGAAGGTATCAGCTCAGCCTTCCTGCTCAGTGCTGTCAAGTGGAAGGAAGCTAGAAACTCAATTCTGCAGGTGCTGTCCATTGATAATGCAATGGCCTATGTTTGGAACCACACACACAGAGACTTGTCACATCATGCCAACCTTTTGATTCCTTATTCTCTACTGAAGACAGGTTATTATGCTTTCAATAAACAGGAACACATTAAGAAGAACTCTCAGCCAAATCTGTGGTTGTAGTCCTCTGAAACAGCATTAAGACTCTTACAACTAGTAAATTCTACATGACAAAATTATTAACAGTTTTCATTGCAGCCAACACATTTTTGGTATATAGATTTAATAGACCAGTCACAATATCCCATTCAGCCTTATTTTGACAACACTGTAATTTACAGAAATCTAGGCTGTGGCCAGGCCACATGCTATGATTATTCTCACCCCCAGGAACAGCAGGGAGAGTTTTCAGCTTGTTACTGATGTGTGCACACACTTCAGTGCACGGCTCAGCAATACGCCTGCAGTAATTTGTAGGTATATTTTCTTTGCAGGCTACCTTTGTCTTTCCTTTGCTTTCCTTTCTTTTCCTTTTCAGGGTCCTTTCTCTCCTATTTGACAGGAAATCCTTATAATCTAGGGACCATACTTTCCATTTCTTTTTTTATTTTCACCTAGATGTCCAAGAGAGCATCCTAGACAGAATTAGAAGCTAAATAAACCTAAACTGTGACTATGAGCTAATGAAATAGAGTCTTAGAAACAAGGTTATATTAGTTGCCATATTCAAATGAGTGTTCTGATTTCAAATAGGTATCTTTAGAGATGGTGCCTTTGCTTATACACATTTTAGAATTCAACTTTATAAGTTATACATGAAAAGCAATCTCACTTATTTATAATCAAATATTACTTTTTAAACACAAAGGTTTTGATGACATTACTCACTTATCTATCAGACTTAGTTCTAATTGATGGCATTCTCTTGAATAAAATATTTTCCATTTTCCCTGAAGGTGAGTCCTCAGAGAAGTTCCTAAACCATCCTGGTCAATGGTAGCATTTTGATGGAAAGTATGTGGTTTCTCAAACTAGCTCATAAGATAAAGCCAGCATTCATCTCTAAACACTGGCCTATTAATTTTTAAAAATATTTATTATCTAGTCATTCCTTAGGCCATTGATTGACATGCACATAGGGCAGTAGAGCTGAGGACCTGGGAGACTCCTGGGCTCTTGGGGAAAGAAGAGCTTTACTTCCAGTGATCACTCTGGGAACACAACAAGGCCTGACTGAACCAGGTTCCATAGTGACCCAAAGAAAATTAAAGCCCTGGAGTTTTTCATAACCTTCTAGCTTACTAATTTATAATTACACTCAGAGAATTATACCAAATTAATTTTGAGAAAATGCAGCACTTTATTTGAATTTATGTAGCTAATAATAATATCCTGAACCTTGGGTGGGTTTGGCCTTGATACATGCTGCATAGACAGTCAATTTGTGGGAATTTCTCCAAGTGCCGAATGTTCTACCATCATTCCACCATTAGAGCAACACTTCTTTGGTTTTAGTTAACTACAGTGATGTGCCGGTCAATGTTTAACAAACCACTTTGAGGGTGGGTGGGGAAGCCCTAATTTGCTACCAATGGTTTAACATTGGACCCAGCAAGAATTCTGATG